ACCCGTACGGCCTCCAGGCAACGGGCCATCACGTCAAGGGCATCGTTGGGGTGACCTGGGGTGGAGATGTACAACTGAGTATCATCAGCGTACTGATGGAACTCCACCCCAAAGCCACGAATGATCTCTCCCAGCGGCTTCACATAAATATTGAACAGTAGGGGAGAGAGGACCGACCCCTGAGGCACCCCACAGGTTATTGTTTTCAGATCAAAATGATTTTGTTTATTTACCATTTAATGCATAATTTGAAAAATAAAATCAAGAGTGTGCCATAATCAAAATTAGTAATGGCCCACAAATACAAAAAGTATCTAAAATCAGTAATTCAATTGCATGAGTCATTTTTACAGATCGCACATCAAATCTTAAAACAAAATTACAGTGTAGTTTATTACCTACCCCCCTCCCAAAACAGAGATGCTTCAGTCTTCTGTTTTTATTCTTTCTACAGTTTTAGATTATTAGAAAATTGCACATTGTGGTGTTCTATGAAGAGTTTCTGAATTTCAAGATATTTGATACTTTTATCAAATTACTAAAGTATCTTTATTAATTTCTCAGGTAAAGAAGTTGGGGATAGTAGCTGTTAGTAAGTATGAAATCAAATATGCTTAAATGTGCAACTTTTAAATTTTTTCTCTATAAAAAGTGAAAGTTACATTTAATACTACTGTTATACTGAAAAACCTCTACAAAATATCACATAAAAGAAATCTTTCTGTAATCTTATTTAGGGGTATATTTTCTAAATAGTTTGATCTTTGTAGTATGTAATGTTCATTAATGATCTCTATGTTAAAATATAACTTTTTAATATCATATAAACACATTAAAATATAACTTTTTAATATCATATAAACACATTAATGGCCTACATTACAGCATATCAGTATTGATGGATCCTAGGACAATCTCTATAATACCCACATACATTGAATTTTATAAAATTTCTATCAAGTTTTTAATGTTTGGTCAGGTCTTTGAAGGTCTTGATAATATTATAGCTAGTAGATACGTTTTTCATATGGAGACTGCAGTCCCAAAATAGGATCTGTGCATATAAGAGAGTATTTGGAAAGTAGACAGCACTCAGGCTGGGATTCTGACTAGCCATTAGTCTGATAATATTTTTTGTTTGTAATTATATTGTGACATAAATGATGCCTATTATGCATATCCTTAGTTGATTGAATTGTATTCCATCCTTTATTCCCTGGATGAAATGGGCATTGCTAGCCAAGTGGATTGTTCCATGTCCCTGCCACATTGTTCTGGAAAATTAGGAGGCTTTCTGGAGTTATTTTTGAATTATGTAACATTTTATTATATGATTAGAAATATACTATAATGTCAATCTTATTAGTTGCACTGGATAGCAAGATGCATAGCATATAAATTTAATGATTAAAATAATAAAATTATGCAATAATTTAACTATCTTCATGTATTTATATAACTTTTATATCTGACAGTTCATTTTCGATTGTGGTGTATTTTCTACTTATTGGCAATGCCAGACTTTTTGAAAAGTTATACAGCTGCCTTAAAAATTAAGATGAAGGAGTAAATGGCACTGAAGACAGTGGTTCCCCCAAGTCAGTATATGTTGGATTATACTGCTATTCCACAGACTTTAACAAAAAAGTAAATTGGGTGGTCCTTATCCAGATAACTAATGTAACTTTTAGTAATTAATCTGTTTTAAATGTACCTATAGTTTTATATGCTAGTATATATACTCCATAGAAGCAATATATATAGATTGCAGTGTTGAGAAAATCATAATTACATCATAAATGTTTCCTGGTAATATGTACTTGAAAATAGATTATTTGCTTTGCTTTGTTCTATTATTCTTTTAGGCAATGCTTTGCCACAAAATATTACATGTTTGGCAGCTGATCGAATGCTGGTCTTTGCATCATGTGGTGCTTTTTTGTATGCTTTTGCTCGCAACAAAGAGGTTTGTACTGATGTCAAATAATATGCAGTTGATTTGTACCTTATACTAAATTTAATGACTGTAAAACCTCAATTTAGTGGAATTCTGTTTTATGAGACATCAGATGCAGTGAACAAAATGTGTATCTGGATATTTTACCAAAATATGGAATGAGTCCATTATATCTAAAGTGGTATAAATCTTAAATTTTTATTTATTTCATTTGCAAGCTAATGTAGTTATATAAATTGTGTCATGCCATTTGCATCATTATACAAAACAACATAAATTTAGATTCAGTGGATATTCAGGAGTAATGGGGACACATGTCTCCCCCCAAATGGTCTTTTAATTTGAAGGTTTTCAATATTTATGTTTAAGATATAGATATTGAAGATATTTTAATTTAGATTACTTAATATTTAAAGAAATAGGTTACTTTAAAAAATCTTTAAAGTAAATTCAGCTGAAATTAATAGGATAGATCCAAGAAAACATTATTGAACTCTTGCTTTAAAACTATAAAATAGGTATTTAAACATTGCTTTTATGACATAGCTGGTTAGAATATGTTAATAGAAATAACATATGATTAATCCATTGAAGAATGATGTTTCCATGTATATTCTTAGTAATATTAGAGCATAATATTACACTTCATGTCCTTTTGAAAAGAAAAGGTGGAGGACAGGTTCAAGAAAATTGTTAGTAATTTTGATAAGCCAAATCTGTATTGAAATATTTTGTACAAAAGAAGTAAGGGTACTGTGAAGTATAGATGCATATGAATAGAACGGATATGTAACTTGTTCTTCTTACCACCAGATAGGAAGATGCCAGGAAGAAAGTAAAATAACAGAACTGAAAAAGATCACTGTTGCTTAGAATATAACTTAGGAATCTTAGGAACCAGCAACCATTTCAAATACATTTCACTGTGTTTGAAATGATTTCATTTTTCATAGGGATTCACAACTATGCTTCCCTAGAAAAGGCATTCCTTTAAAAATATTCTCCAAGTTCGGAGGAGAGCTGAAGGATTTCTCTGGCCTCACATGAAGGCCAGAGCATCAGAAGGACATCTGCTTTTAAACATGCTCATTATGACATCATAGAGATTTACAGCTAACAACTGAGTAGAAGAATTATGATTTGTTTCAGTATTTGGCAATAGACTGCCCACATAATCAAGGCCTAGTTTATTTTTGCTTAGGAAAGGAGCCTAAATTCATACTTGATTTATCTTTTGAATTCTGTAAAAAAAAATTAAATCTATAGAATTAAAATTTTATGTGAGACATATTAGGGCTTTTAAAAGACGTCTGATGTATTTAACACACTCCTATTGTCCAAATACAATGCATTATTTTATTGAAGTAACTGCAGTATTTTGAATTTTAGGTGGTTCACACTTACTCAGGTCACCAGACAGATATCCTTTTTATATTGCCATTTGGGGATCATGTCATCTCTGTAGATAATGAGAGCATTCTTATTATTTGGGATTTGCAATCAGAAGGTAAGACTAGTCTTTTTAATGTAATAACTACTGGAAAAAAAGTAAAAAGATATTTGTGGTGAACAGAGACTAATGCTATTCTTTGTTCTGCAGAAGAATACTTGCAACTGGATTTTGATAAGACTGTATTTGCCATTTCTGCAGTTTTACACCCATATACTTACATGAATAAAATACTTCTTGGTAGTGAACAAGGACCTTTGCAATTATGGAATGTAAAATCCAAGTAAGAACTATTCTCTCTAGAGACTTAAATCGTTTGTTATTACTTAGCTCTTATATTTTAAAACGGGTCCCCAACCCCCGGTCCGTGAACCAGTACCGGGCTGCGGCATGCCAGCAACCGGGCTGCACAAACACGCAAAGCCCCATCCGCAGGATGCAGGCAGCACACAAAACCATGCAACCTCTGGTCCCCGGAAAAACCTCTCTCCAAGGAACCAGTCCCTGGTGCTCAAAAGGTTTGGGACCTCTGTTTTAAAACATGGAACTGAATGTGTGATGACCCAGGGCACAGCACAAAGGCAATGCAGTCAGCTGGCAATGTACACAGTTCTTTAATTGCTGCAAAGTTCCTCCAAATGCTCCCACGTTTGCTGGCAAGCTTCCAACCCAAGCACACACACACACACACACCTTCCAGCGACTCTGCCTGAAGGCAGTTTCAATACAGCCTGATTACCATAAAGATAACAAACAAAATAAAACATAAGCTTAATGAGTCCGTTTGAATCTCAGCTTGCCTGAGCTGTTTGCAAAGAGGGAAGTCAAAATGCAGTCTGAGGTCATAAATCAGGAAATCCACAGTGGTCAGCCGGTCTGGTAGTCAAGGTGTCCAGGTTTTCCAACAAAGACACAGAACAAGAGCAACAATACACAACTTTCCCAAGATTCAAAGTTTGTTCCTGACAAAGTCCCCACCCCACAGCATCTCCTTATATCTCAATCCCCAGGTATGCTTTGTGGGCTGGGGCAGGACACTCTCCTCCCATGTGAGCCTGCCTGCATTGTTCCCTCCTCCTCTCCACTCTTCTAGCTCTAGGATCAGGTGGGGGTGGGCCTTGCTCCTCGCCTGAACCCTGTCTCCCCTGTTCCAAACTTGAAGGGTCCTGGCCTGCCTCAGCCTGCTCTTCCCCACAGTCCTCTGAGGCCACAGACATCTCTCCCTGGGCCCCATAGGGTCCTGTTCCCGTTCCGGCTCCATTTCCTCCTCCGATTCAGACACGGAGGCATGACAGAATGAGTACAGAGGCGTGGTGGAGTTAATGGAAATTTAACAGTACTTTGTGGACTTTAGCTGCTCTTAGAAGTTAAACAAAATCATTTCTTACTATAACTAGGATGGGGGCACCTTCTAGAAATTCTAGGGGCATTGACCACTAGATTTTTTATAAAAAAAAAATCCATAGAGAAGCCTACAGCAAATGCTTCTATGATGCTGTTGAGGAAACTTCAGGAATGCAGTTGCCAACAGTCATGGTTAAGGACATCTTTACCTCTTCAACAAAATTAAAAATGTGTTTATAAACAGAAGCTTAGAGGATATTTAATAAAAAGCCATATTGAAATGGTATAATAATATTCCTACATTT